CTGTTTCGATTTTTCTTTTATCTTTTAACTTCTAGGTACTACTCCTTATTGATCGTACGACATTGTGGCAAAAATTTGTGATGGACCACGTCATTCCATTCAAAGATAACAGTGAGCAAAACCTTCACATTTGACCGAATCTGACCTGCTCGGACGACCAGGACGAGCATTGTCATTGACATCTTCTCGGCCTTTCTTAAACCCGTTATACCACAATTGAACTTTTGTTCTGCTTACAGTGGACTCACCAAACTCCACAGTCAACGTTTCAAATTTTTTAATTTAATTTTTTACACAAAACTTAGTACAGTTTCTTTGATCCATTTTTTTGAATAGTAAAAAATCGAAGAGCATACCAAAACAGGACTAACCTTTTCATCTGTCAAAAACAAACTGACAATCAATAATGGCTGATATTGCCAACTATATAACAGATATGTGTACCAACATAACAGAAAAAAGCAAAATTCGTACATACGTAACTCACGAAATTTGAAAATAACGGATATTTTCTGATCACACCTCGTATATATATTACATAGTATTATGTTAAAATGTTTCAATTTGTATAAAATATAACATCCTTTATTAAATTTTTTGTTAAAATCAGGCAAATCGTAACAAAAACACGATTTTATTTTATGGTCCACTTTTTGGAAAGGATGGAATTTCATATATTTATCCAGGCAAAGAGCTAATTGTATTCAAATATATGAAGCAAGTCGAGACAATAAAATGTTTTTTTTTCAGGTGCACTTTCTGGAAGAATAGGTGTTCCTAGATCACTTTCTGATCGGATGCTTTTGTCATACACAGAAAACATCATGTATGTCTCAGGTGACTGCGACCATTAATTTAGTGGGTTAATCCGTCAGTTATATACATATATACATCAGTGTGCGTAATAATAGCAGTAACATATAAGAAAAATTTTAATCGAAGAAAACAAATCTAATTAAAGATCTTTGTATTTTATTATATTGTTTAATTTTTTAATATTCATATTTAAATAAAAATGGTTACATTTAAAACTAAAATATTTTTTCTCTACTAAATAAAAATAAGTAAATACAAATAATTCAGCTGTGACTAAAAATAGCCGTGTTTAACATGTTACATTAAAAACCAAACTTAAAATAAAAGTTTCATTACTATATTGCAGAATATGGTATAAGTTATTAATAATGACCGTTATTGGAGATAACAGCTGCGTACCTTCGCCTTCGAGGCATAGAATCTACCAAATGCCTACATTTCCCTGGTTGAATAGCCTTCCAGGCATTCCTCACTACACTCCACAATTGTATCATATTTGAAGGATTCTCTTTTCCTACCGCTTCCTTTACATCTGCTTAAAGATTTTAAATGGAATTAAGGTCAGCAGACTAAGCCGGACAGTCCATGACCTCGACCCTATTTGAAGCAAACCAACTTTTTGCCAAGTTGCTGATATGCTTAGGGTCATTGTGTCTTATAGATATAACCATTTCAGCGGCATCTTCCATACAGGATGCGGCAGCATAGTCGACTACATTCATACAATTAGTCATCCATGTTCTTCTTTATCGAATATATCGGACGAGTACCATAGTAAGAGAAGCACCTTACACATTGATTTTGCCACCGCCATGTTTTACAGTACGGGAAGCGTATCTGGGATCAAATGAATTATTTCTGGCTTTGGCACATATTGTCGGCGTCCCTTGGTACCAAACAAAACATAATTTATTTCGTCGGACAATAAAATATTACGACATTTCTGGACTTATCAATGCTTGTGTTCTTAGGCAAATTTAATTCTGCCGGGGTTGAAGTAATGACACTCGTCTTGGACTTCTGGCAATGTATTTACGCAAGTAATTCCTCTAGCATTCAAAATTAATTTCAATTTTCGAGTTTGACGTAAATTTTTTTAAGGGTGGGCGCCCCTCCGTGGGCAACCTTAGACGGCATGTAAAATATTAGGTGTAGTAAAAAGAAATCCATAATTTTCCCAATAGATGGTGTTATTTATATGTATCTCGCGTTGAATAAGTCCGATCGGGTACCGCTAGATGGCGTTAGAAAAAAAAAGGTTTTCCTGACAGTTTTGCGATTGGTTGATTTGCTTTTTTTTTGCACGGAATGGTCTAAAATGGCGATAAAATCATGGACATAATCGAGTCCGAGCGTCATCTAAGCACTGTTTCGATTGCCCATGAGCTGAGGATTGCACGAAAAACCATTTGCAGCCATTTGAATAAGGCTGGATACGAAAAGTAAAAATCTAAGCTTTCAATTTCTTTTTACTACATCTAATAGATAATTTAGAAACGGTAAGAGAACTAACACGTTTTCTATTCAACTAATTGTCATTTGTTTAAGGAGTTAAATTCCATTTAGTGATAAACCAAATATTCAAAAGCTTAAAAATTAAATTAGACAACTAAAAAGAGATTTCATTTCAAGAGCAAGTAAATACCTTTTATTTTTTTTTTTGAGATTTTGATTCCAGTTCTTTAATACTAAGACATGGTATTTAAAGTTAAAGAATTTCGAGGAGAGCAAAATTCATTATAAGCTTTTCAAACTGATATCTTACCACTAAACAATACGAGGTAGTGTAGATAAGCATATCTCCCTAACGACAAAAGGCTGTATATTTAAAATGAATCGCAACATTCTTGAAGTTTAAAAATAGTTAAAAATTCTACTGTTTGTACCTGATTAAATATAGTTGCTAAAATAACTCCAATGTTTATTTCGCCACTTTGTTTTGTATACACTAGCTCTGTTCGTTATTACAATAATTTTGAAAAACTATTACATATTATACAAAATTGTGTTTAAATGGCGTGAGTTTACACATAAAAATTAATCTGTAAACAGAATTTGAAAGAGTAAAGTGAATGTTCCGATCAAGGGAGATAGTAATTTTGTCATGGAAAAATTTTTACTTGTAAAAATTATTCATCACGAAAACATACATATTTATAAATGTAAAAGAAACCAATTCAAAAATCAAAAAAAAAAAATTATCAAGAAGATGGCAACTAAGTTGATGAAAACAAAAATTAAAGGGTTTAAACATAATTGTAACTAATTTTTCATACATAGATGCCATTTAGTAGGGTATGAATCTCTTACCACTGCCACTTTGCACTTGCCACTTTATAGATGAAGATGAAATTGATTTTAACATGAAAAGTGCACCACTTTCAGGTGCGATTGATATCGCGAACTTTTCAACTAGAAGCTCATAGAGAAATTTTGTATGTGAAAGAGTAATAAATTACCCGAAAAAATATGGCGGCAGCGGTAGCCGAGTGGTTAGCTTTGCGTACTGCCTCTCGGAAGGCTCGAGTTCACATCCAAATGTCGTACTAACAATAAAAAAAGTTATAGAAAATTAAATAAGCTAAATTTTCTAATCGCAATGTCACCTACTCCGAGTGTATTTCTGACATGAAATAAAACCTTCTTATTAAAAAAAACCCCCTCAGCCGTTCCGCTGAGAGGCGAAAAAACATAAAGACGCAAAACCACGTTAGGGGAGGAGGAGGAGTTCGGGCGAAAATCGTTGTAGCGGTTACAAAGCGCTAATTATATATATGTATATATATTGTAATAAATATAAAAACAAATTGATGCATTTCATTTTCCTGGTGAATATTTCACATCCAGCTTTCAAATCATTTTTAAATTTGTAAAAACTATTAATAAGTAAAAAATAGCTGATGTTTGGGCCGTTTGAAATGTGATGGATTTTTTTGATGAATTTTTAATTTTTAATTTTTAGCTCTAACAGACCTAATGTCTATTTATTTCGGAAATTTTTATTTAATTGAAGAAGCATATGTAGATGAAAATGACGAAATTAGCTTATAGAGTTATTATTTAATCTAATCTCGCGATTACTTACGTCATTTGGGATGTTTACTGGGCTTATGAGCATAAATGAAAACCATGAGGAATTTAACAGCATTTTTTACGACATTTTGTTTCCTTGATATATTTTAAGGCAGATAGTATAACATAACATAATTTTTGAAACTGTATATTCTTACACATACATTTACATTATTTATTTTTTTAACTATTAATTTTTTAGAATCTCGATATCTAATGTGAACAGAGCGTAACAATGGGCTTATTGAGAGGCGAGTTTGGTTAACATTTGAACATTTTATTTCAAGTTCCGCGCAGGTCAATTGGCCGCCTAGATCGTGCGATTTAACGACTTTAGACTATTTTTTTATGGGGCTTTGTTAAATCTTATGTCTATACAGACAAGCCCGCTTAAATTGACGGATTGGAGGACAACAGTGAAGCATTCGTGAGATACCGGCCGGAATGTTGGAAAGAGTATGCCAAAATAGGACTAAGCGGATGGAGCATTGGAGGCGCAGTTACTGTTAAGATTTGCATGAAATTATCTTCCAACATAAAATTATATAAACGTACTATCGATTCAAATAAATATTTAATGCATTTTCCTGAAATGTATGTATGTCTTTTTTCCGAAAAACTTTCCTATGCCACTAGAAAAATCACTCCTTATATGGCATGGTTCATAGTAAGCTCACAGCAAGAGGTGTAGGAATTCGTTTTCATAAGAATACTCATAGCAGAATTTTATAATTATCATAATAATTACATTTTTTTTCGCATACCTACTAATGTTTCGCATATCTTTTTACCTTTGTTATTTACTGTAACCATACAAAAAAAAAAAACAGATTTTCAACGTTTGTGACATTTTTGCAATTTATTGCTATTTAGCTAAGCGTTTTATTTGCACATCCAAACAAAAGTTAAAACGTCACAAACAAAATACAAAATAAATAATTAAATAAATACACACATATGTACCCATTCATTTGCACACAAAATATCATTACTGTAAAAATATCTCTTCTTCACAGCAACTTTTGATGAAATAAGATGTGTATTTAAGATAAAATTAAGATGTTCATTCTAAAACAATCAGCATTTTCTCTATAAAAGTTTAAAAACCGATTGTGAAATTCGTTGTTAGCTGCTGGAATTTGTCGCCACCAGTGATGGATTATACAAGTGTAATATTTTTACACTTAAGTGATAGTCAAAAGCTTTTGGAGTGAAGTGATCCTTGAGGAAAAGGATACACACAGTGAAAGTGTGTGTTTTGTGTCTACAAAAAAGTTGTTATCTTTGCCAATAAATAAGTAAAATCAATCGCAAAATGGTTTGCAGTCAAAGCTCCAGTGGCGTTTTTAGCCGCGAATATCGCATGCAATTGTTGGCCACACTTAGTGGTGAGTTAAAAAGTTGATTATGAAAGAAAAAAACAGGGCTTAAACAGAAAATAAAGATTCAAAACAAAACGTCTTATTGGATTAATTTGTTTAAGCCATGAATCAAGTATTAATAATTTTTCATTAATTAAGGATCTTGATTGTACATTAATTAAGGATCCTAATAAATATAAATATTTTTCCTCTTATTAAATTGAAATATTAAATGTGGTTAAGTCGAAATACTTTCTGCTTTGTTGATTATTAAAATGGCTTGCATTAAGTCTGTTGAATTTAATAAATACACATTCATAAAAACAAATTATTTTTAAATAAAATTTAACATATCAACATTTCTCCACAGTCACCATCATAACATTTTGCAACGGCGCCGGTATCGGCTGGTTCGCACCCATGTTGACGAAGTTTCAATCGCCCACCGAAACACCACTGGGCTTTACCGCTACCGTCGAGGAGGGTTCGTGGATCGGTGCGCTCGTTTGCGCTGGTGGAGTAACTGGAAATTTAATTTTCGGTGTACTATTGGATCTCATAGGTCGTAAAGCTTGTATATATATTCTAGCCATACCGCATATGGCAAGTATTGAAAAAGTCTAAAACACTCTTTAGGAAAAACATATTTATAATTAATTTCATTACAGTGCTTTTGGATACTTGTTTACTATGCGCCATGCATTGAATATCTTTACGCAGCGCGTTTTGCTTCCGGCATCACTGGTGGTGGCACTTGGGTTGTGATACCCATTTTTATAGGCGAAATCGCTGATCCAACGTGAGTTTTGTCGTAGCTTTTCTATTTATTTCTTAATTTTCATTTTATAATTTTTCGTTAACAGCATACGCGGTCGTCTTATGTCACTTTTTACTCTTACGCTCAATATGGGCATGACGGCCGGCTACATACTCTCCTCATATGTACCCTATCACATTATACCAATCGCGGTAATTGTGCTACCGCTACTTTATTTGTTCATAGAAACATTTTTCCCCGAAACGCCATCCTACCTTCTGATACATGGAAAAGAGGAACAAGCTGAAAATTCTTTGAAATTCTATATGAACCATACTGGAAATGCAACTAAACTGGAAATTGAACAATTTAATGTAAAATTTGCAGAACTAAAAAGTGCTGTGAAACAACAAAAATCACAAAATGACGGGGTGACGTTGAAGGATTTTTGTAAGTAGATTAAAAAAAAATGTGTAAAAAATATTTATTTTTCACATAAAACCTTTCTAGTCACCAAGCGCGCACTACGCACAATTAGCATCGGCATAACCGTTATGCTCATCAATATAGCTACTGGAAGTTTCGCTTTACTCAGCTACATGTCAACAATCTTTGTCGCGGTTAAAACCGATATACATCCCGACACGAATACAATCATTATTGGTGTTGTACAAATACTCGGCTCTTATACAGCCATAATTTTAGTCGATCGATTCGGTCGTAAAATTCTCCTAATGATTTCAACAGCCTCAACGGGAGTGTTCTTAGCTGCCTTCGGCACGTATGCATTTTTCGCAGAGGAAACCGATGTAGATCTAACAGCATATCGTTCGTGGTTGCCACTCGTACTTATGGCGCTCGTTATACTCACGGCGAATGTGGGCATTATACCCGTGCCTGCTGTATTGTTGGTGGAGATTTTGCCACCAAAGGTAAATATGAACGATGTTTATTACTGTGTTTTGGTTTTGCAAAAAAAAGAAAACAATTTATTTTATTCTAATAAATTTCATTTATTTTTTTCTTTTTCGTTTTAGATACGCGCCAAGGCTGTATCGTTTTGCGTCACTCTACTGAGCTTTTTCGCTTTTGTCATGTTGAAGATTTTCCCGCCTTTCATGGACGCTTTCGGCTTGTCGGCGACAATGTGGGCTTGTGCCTCATTCGCTGCTATGGGACTTTTATATATAACAGTGGTGGTACCAGAGACTAAAGGGAAGTCCATGAATGTGGATGATGATTAGAAAAATACAAAAATTATATAAGGTTCCAAAAAGAAAAGGAAAAAAACATTATCTAACCTGCGAATTTATATACTACATACATAAATAGATAATAAGAAAATTGCACAAATTGCAGTGAGAAGCATTTTTTTCATAATAAACTAATGCTTTTAAGGAAATATTTCACCACATTGTACACTTAAACATTAAAAAGCTATTACAACATAATTCCCTATTAATGTGATATTAAATATTTTATTAGTATTAGTAAAAAAAAAAATTTTAAGCATGAAATTTATTAAATAAAATTTATTATTAATTATAGAAGTTTACAAATTCCAGTCAACGAAAAAAATCCTTTTGCAACTCTCTACAGAGTTGGTGAGATAATTGTGTTTAGAAGTCATTGCCAGAACGGTGCGAAGATGCACAGTACTAGCTTATTTACATGAGCGGAAGCCAGCAAAAAACCACCGAAAAATCGTCGTGCCAGACTAGCATTTGCTAAGGCGCATTTAGAGAAATATTTTATCTTCTGATGAATCGAAATTTAAAATTAAAGATTTTGATATGAAAAATGTCACCATACGCCGACCAGCAAACAATAGTATTGATCCCAAGTATTGCACGAGCACACTAAAGAATGGCGGAGACTCCATTATGGTCTAGGGCTGATTCTCTTCTGACGTATTCAGTCCAATTCATCAAATAGCAGAAAAAAATGGATCGATTTGTGTATAAAAAATGGTTTGAAAAAATGTGATGCTGCTCTTGATTTCGATCTATCAAACAGGATAACAATCCAAAACACACCTCGCAATTGGTTAAGGAGTGGCTAAAAACGGAAAAAGTCAATGTTCTAGAATGACCTGCTCAGGGTCCCGACCTCAATCCTATTGAGGACGTCTGAAGAATAATAGATCGAAAAATTAAAAGCTATAGTGGAAGAAAGAAGTACCATAGTTTCAATAGCTTACAAGTTGCGTTGAACTCATAGATGCGCTGTGGTGGTAAAAAAATAACGGTTACGCTGTTGACTATTAACTTTTAAAATTATTTACTTAACGTTTCATACGAAAACTTGAAAATGGCGTTTAGTTGCTTCAGTTTTGACCAGCAGTCAGACCAGTTATAACTGATCCATTACAACAGCTGAAGCGATTTTTTGGTCGAGCTCTACCTCTAATTCGTGGGGTGAGTCTTGAATTATTTTTTTCAGCCCATAGTTTTTTCACAGCCGCTTCCGAGCGGCCTAAGGATGAGAAGATAATCAACGCAACATAAATATCTTAATTTATCATCAGTATCTAAGCCAGTTCCACAAGGGCACGATGATCTATTTCCAGTTTGTCCAGGTATAAGTGCAAATGTCATAAGATCTTGCGGAAGATCTTGTACTATATCAAATTCAATAGGCATCACTGGAAAATATGTAAGGCGATTATAATTCGAAAATGTCAATAGGTTTACGAATGACTTAACAGCTAATTGGTCTGTTGATTGAGATGCAATTTAGAATCTCAGTAATTCTCTGCTTTTTTTTGTTATTGGACACAGCTGCGCCAAAACTCAGCTCACTCACTATTCTCAGTCAACATTAGTTTGAACAGTAATACGTCTCCCCTGCAGCACCAGTGTTGTAAGGTATTATTTGTTGACTGTATAGCTATAAACTATGTAAAAAAAATCAATAAGTTTGTTGATTATTGTTTCTGAATTACAATTTATTCTTAGCACAAGGTTGACTAGTGTAATGACACTTATTCAAAAAATTTTAGTCTCAATTATTCCAGCGTCATTATGTCGACACCTATTTAGAGAAAAAATTCTGGCAACACTGTGCGCCTCTTGAAAATCTCAAATATGTTTTACTACCACTCTCTTACATAAAATTGGGCCTTATCAAGACCTACGTGAAAGCATTAAACCGTGAATGACCAATTTCGAACAATTTAATTAAGTTGTTTCAAGAACTATCATACCCAAAATTTAAAAAATTATTATTAGTCGTGCCTAATATTGCTCAAAAGACGATAACAATGATTTGTGGATGAAGGTATGATGAGCGACTACTGTTCCACTTCTTCTCAGTTCTAATTTGTTAACGTGATTTTTACAAAATGACCATTACTTGTTAAAAATCAATAAAAATTAAGCTTTTAACTATATAAAAATTTAAAATTCATTCTAAAAAACATAGTGAAGTTTTGAATTAAGCGCCAAAAAACGACATGGAAAGACATTCTGGTTACCCTGATACAGAAAAATGTGAAATATATTACTATTTATTATTTTATATATACAATATTTTTTATTTCCTTAGGGAATGCTATAGAGTTTTTTATGTATTTCAGTGCGCCTTTTTTCAGGTGTCACATTTAACAAGCGACCTCATAACAAAGTTAAAAAAGCATGACGTAGGTGAATCCCTCACACCTCACTGTACTGCAATGTATTCTTTTTGTGAGCAATTGAAACATACTTATAAGAGCTAAAATCATTAAGACTACGAAACACAGAAATCGTAAAAATTCGCCACGAAATTTTGACAAATATGCTGGGGATAATCGACAAGAGAGGTTGACAGAAGTGCTAAGCAATGATTTCCGGAGCATTTGCCTGGCAAAGCAAATACATTAGGGTAGACGATATTCGGAGCTCACATACATTGAGCTTATGAAAAGTGTCAGCTTTGCCTACGCCAACTAAATAGAAAAATAAATAACTTTAAACGTAGTATACATGTATAGGATTATCCATTTTGTGGTTTCAAAAATAAACGTAATAAACGTAAAATAAACGTAAAATGTATTTAATATTATTTTTTTATGAAAGTCTACTTTTATTATAAAGTTTGAGATAATTTCCGACCAATTTTAGGCACATATTTTGCGGTCTCTCAATGGTCTCAAAGTTTTTCGCGTAACTCCATAAAAAAGTGCAATGGTGTCAAATTATACGATCTCGGTGGCCAATTGACAATGCCAAGTCCAGAGACTGCGCAGCCGAGAATTTTCTCTAGCAATTAGGTCATGTTGTGGGGCATGTGGCAACATCTTGTTGAATACATATATTATCCAAATCGCGTTCTTCAATTGCAGGCCCAAAAAAAGTCGGTTATCACACGTCCGAATTGACAGTAACAGTCTTGCCGTTGTCGTTTTCAATTAAGTAAGCATTCTCGGAGCCCCAAATACAACAACTCCGCATACTTACGTATCCGCCGAGTGAGAAATATGCCTCCTTGACGAATAAAATTTTGTACAAGCTAGACTTTATATGGATAAAGGTGTAAGTTGTAGACGAAATGCGCCACAATGTGCCGAAAGAAAGTCCCAACTTCTGAGAACCCTAGAAAAATACACTTTCGGGTCACTTACAACACCAACATTTGTGGTGGAATGAACAAAATGATAATGGCTGGCTTTAGAATATCTGCAACCGATCCAGCCTCTACAAGTTTCATTGAAAATTTAACAGCTGGCAAAATACAGCGCTGTACATTAGAAACCACAAAATTCACAACCCTATATATGAATATTTATTTACTTTTAAAGCAAATAATGTAGTTGATATAGTCTAGCTTTACTATAACAAATATTATAATCTCCAAAGCGAAAAGATAAAATTAAAATATAATATATTCCGTTTAGTACTTATGTGTGCGGATTGAGAAATTTCAAGTATAAAAGTCAGAAATCATTAAACAATCCATCCGTTAACATTTATATTTTGCTCACGCTAGTTATGAATTTGTGAAAGTATTTCATATTGGGAAAAACTGAAGCTCAAGCATTTATAGGAAATAGTCCATACCCAAACCAGCAGATCCTTGGAGATAAACGAATTTACGATTACTACTAAGAGACAACTTGGAAATATGGTGGCCAAGAAAGACATTTCTGCTGGGGGTTTTTTTAGTAGAGAATTTCGCATGCAGGCGCTAGCAGCAGCAAGTGGTAAGTTTTATAGCAACGAAGCAGATAAGGTCGTATTCTCTGGAGTTTCGCGATGCTTCAACGTATATTTCCCGGCCCATTCATGATATATTTATACCATGTAAGAAATTTTCAACCTGCGCAAAATCTAATCAAGCACACTTCTCTGCCTAGTAAACATCATAACATATTGCAATGGCATCTCGATTGGCTGGTTTGCGCCTATGCTAGCGAAATTTCAGTCACCCACCGAAACGCCGCTAAATTTCGTAGTCAACGTAGGGGAGAGTTCATGGATGGGCGCACTAATAGGCGTTGGTGGTCTTACAGGAAACATATTCTTCGGTTTGTTAATGGATGTCATAGGTCGTAAGGCTTGTATTTATCTAGTTGCAGTACCACACATGGTATAGTATATGAATAAAGACTCTATAGATAAAAGAAGTTTGCAATAATAATATTCTCATTTTAAACGCAGTGTCTTTGGGTCCTGGTCTATTTCGCACCGAGCGTTGAATTTCTATATGCCGCACGATTCGCTTCTGGCATGACTGGCGGTGGCACTTGGTCTGTTATACCAATTTTTATTGGAGAAATTGCTGATCCAGCGTAAGTTTTATCAAAACAGAATTTGTTTCACTATTTTTAAATTTAATTTTTGCTCTCTTTTAAATAGCATACGCGGTCGCATTACGGCACTCTTTACGCTGACTCTTAATGTAGGCATGATGACCGGCTATATAATCTCTTCGCACGTTTCTTACCACATTATACCAGTGTCCGTGATACTCTTACCTGTACTCTTTTTACTTATCGAAACATTTTTCCCCGAAACACCAATATATCTACTACGTAGTGGCAAAGAAGAACAAGCCAAAAAATCTTTGAAATTCTACATGAATCACAGAGATTCGATGGAGAAAGACACTGAGCAGTTCAATGCCAAATTTGAGGAAATGAAAAGTGCTGTTAAACGACAACAGTCACAAAAGTCGGTGACCTTGAGAGATTACTGTAAGCATAAGCCATATTTGACATATGTAAATTTTAACAAATAACTTTTATTGTGAAAAACCTTTACTGTTTTTTTTTTTGGTTTTAGTTACGAAACGTTCTTTGCGCGCTTTGGGTATCGGCTTAACAGTTTTATTTTTCAACTTAGCAACAGGCAGTTATGCCTTACTCAGCTACATGTCAAGCATTTTTGTAGCGGTTAAAACCGAAATACATGCCGACACGAACACGATCATTATTGGTGCCGTACAGATAATCGGCTCCTTCATAGCCATCATCTTGGTCGACCGTTTTGGACGCAAGATTCTACTTATGATCTCAACAGCCACCACTGGTCTTAGTTTAGCCGCCTTCGGCGTGTACGCTTATTTAGTTGAGCGAACAAATATTAATTTATCCTCGTTTAGCACATGGTTACCGCTCGTACTCATGGCTCTTATTATACTCACAGCGAATGTAGGCATTATACCCGTGCCCGCTGTGTTATTGGTAGAGATTTTGCCACCAAAGGTAAGTCGTTTGTATCTTAAGAACTCTTTTCATTTTAACGAAATTTCAATTGTTTTTTTTTTTTATTTTAGATACGCGCTAAAGCTGTAGCCTTTTGCTTATGTTTAACGAGCGTTTTTGCTTTCACAATGTTAAAGGTTTTCCCACTGCTAATGGATGCGTTCAGTGTCGCAACAGCATTTTGGATTTGTGCCGCATTCGGTGGTTTGGGCTTCTTCTGTATAACACTTTTTGTACCGGAAACTAAGGGGAGGTCAATGAATACAGACGAAGAATAATTAGAAATAAGTTTGTTTGTTAATCAACTGATTCTAAATAAAGTGTTTTTGTATTAACTCCCAAAGCTTTTTAATATTTTCTTGAACAAATTAGGAATAAAACCCCAACTACCTGGTCTCACTTAAGTTATTGGTAATCAAACCTTCGGGGTGTAATGGGGTGTAGCCGTGCCTTCGTTCATGCAGTTACAGTCGCGGGGCTACACTAAATTCTTACTCTGGATACTTGAGCAACCCTTGTGCAATATGCGCTAATCAACCAGTGTGGAGCCGTGGGTCACGACTAAAAGAGAGGGAGCTTATTCTAAAAGAGTGTACAGCTGCTAGCGTACAACCATGATATTGACATTTTTGGCCGCAATAGCCTCACAGTAAATTCTGTTTTCCCCAGATTGAATATGGAAGCGATGGAAATGGGTACGGTAGTACTGTTGAACGATGAGAACATCAGATGACCTGATGAATCGGCGTTAGGATTTTTCAAGAGACAAGTTTCCGTTTGAACGATGAGCTGTACGAGATATACGGCGACATTGAAATAGTTCTAGATCTTGTGATCCGAATAGATAAGAATACCCCAGCTTTGCAGTACCCGCCGGTGGAAGCAGAGGAAAAAAACAAAACTTCCACTTTGTTGGAAAGGCCAGATGGAGAAGGAACTTGGTATTTCCAATTAATGCCAAACAGCGAAAAGAAGGAATGAATGGCTCGCTGTTGTTAACTCGGCTATAATCGCGTTAGGGGTGCCCAGGCTAATAAAAAGGAAGAAGTAGAATCAAACCTTTGGGTTATGGAGCAATCGCGTACGTTATTATTATTTTTTTTTTTTTTGAAAATTTTTATTTGTGTTAGCGAAATTATATATTGCCAAGTTTCTTGGTCAGATGTTGCCTAAACAAATAATGTCATCACATTTTATTTTTGGATAAAAGTCGTAACGCCAATAGGCTACTAGTTTGCAGGTAGAAATATATACTGTAATCTTTTTTTCAGCATTTTGATAAAATCTGCTTGAGAAAGCATTAAGATTAGAAGATTTTTAAAAAGAAAGCGACCATAAAAGTGTGAACTATTTCACAATTTTGTTAAATATTAGAACTTGTCGTTGGTGGCAGAAAGGTATAAAAATAGAAGTAATATGTTTCACCATTTGAGAGTAAATTTTAGTAAAAAAAAAATAATATAATTGTGAAAGCAGGAGAATCACTCAAAATTAAATACTTTTAGGTAATCAGAAGTTTATTTCAGAAAGAAGAAGTAAGTGTTTAGATCTTCACGCTGAATCATGTCCCACAACACTTCAGGCATCGTTCCCCAAAAGGGAACAAAGGAGAACTGATTGCACATACTTGCATATTAAAGAGTGCAGATATACATAGATAAACTCAATATAGCAAAAGCACTGCCCTACTTGTTAAGGATATTGAGTAAATATTTTTTTAATAGAAAAGAGGGAGCCGATGGATTCAATATTGGAGAATGAGCTTTAAAACCAAAGTTAAGGGATTTAAAAGATCTGCACGCTTTTAAAGAGAAAATAAATAAGGCCACAGGCGACTCTCTCTCATAAATCTACTGTAATACCTGTATCTCGAAAAATCCCATCGTATGTTCTCATCATCTAATTCTATTACGCATTTAGATTGAATGCAACTCAAGCTCGGAATAATTGCAGTTTAGGACACACTAAAATAATATCACCACACCAGTATGTGATTCGGCAAGATTTTATCCACGAGCAACCCAAACAGAAATGAACCATAACTATCTTTACAGACGGCTCAAAGCTCAATGGAAAAATGGGTACGAAATATATTCTCCGATGCTGTCAATAAATATGAGCAAGAGACGGTGAATGGTGGTGTTCCTTGGTGGTAGGACTGCTTTGGATTTGAGAAATTGCTGAATTGCTGATTCGAGGAGAGTTTTAGAAAAATGCAAATTGATTTCCATTTTTATCTATTCCATTTTTGTGAAGTACTGCCGCATAACCTCATTTTTGACATTTACTTTCATATGGGAATGATTATGGGTCGTATACGCACTGTGTAATTTTTATTCACTTCTCAAATGGCAGTGACATTACATTTCGATGAACTTATTTCAATTTTTTAGCAATGAAGCCCTCTCATCGATGTTATGGTGAGTTCAATCGAGGTCGTAGAGCACTCCAAGACAAATTGTGTGAGGATCGCTTAAAAGCAGTTGTTGTTCCGGAAAGTATTCAAGCTGTGCACAAACTGATATTGTAAGATTGTCGTGTGACCTATAGTGAGATTGAGACTACTATAGGCATTAGTTGGATCAGCTCACATTCAACATTGCATGAACATTTGACTACCAGAAAAATTATTCACGCTGGATCACACGCAAATTTTGTCAAGGCTCTTGTCGATTGGTCTAGAGAAATATTAAAATATAAAAAAATACGACACTGGTTCTTCGAAATAGTTCACTGGATGTCAATGCAAATGGTTGCCTTTTTTTAATTTTGGAAAAAGTGGACATCTCGCAAACGTACATTTAAAATAAAGTTGGACAGAAAATGTCTTTCAAGAAATCAGGACAACGGAGCTCTCACAAATCGACTGAAACATCTGCATTTATAAGCACTCAAACCATCGATTTGATGATTGATCCACCGCATACTTCTGACCTTGAGTTCTTTTTATTTCCGTACGTAAAAAAATTCTGAGGTCAACGCTTTTCGAAGCCTGAATAGGCGGTTAATTTGGAAGACGCTTGGTGAGTGGCTTTAACAGTCCATTTTTTCATAGAGCTTAATGTGCTTATAAAGATCTCTATAACTCCCTGATCAAAGGCGTTATGGTTTTGCCAATAATAGCTCTTTTAAATTCTAGTGGAAAAAATATTGTCGGAGCAAATACTGGGGATGGTGTACTTCAGTTCATTCGGCATTTTTGAAAGAGATAATATTTTAGCGTGTCTTTTATTGCAGTTCTTCCAAGGATTTTTCGATGCACCCGACAAAATCTTTTACTGCTGTATCGACAGAATTGCCCTTAGAATAGTCATAATGCTTCTTTAAGAGACTATCTGGGGATAGATTTTAGCGTATATATCTGTCGAGCAGAGTTTCATAGATTTTTAAGTTAAAAGAGGAAGAGTAATTAGCGGTTCCTCGGACTTACATTGTTGACTTGAAATCACACTGACTTTCTCCTAAAGGCGAAGAAGAGATCATCAAAGCTTTTGAGTCAACTTCCCAAACAAGCAATCACTCAAACGATTAAGGTTTGGGGGGCCAAATGTGATATTTGTAAGTACACAAAAACGATTGGAAAATAAACATTTGGGAGTAGAGCTATTGCAAAGTTTATAGAATACAAGATTACGACAGGAGCCGAAGATTTTCAAACAAATTTTAATAATTTTATCTATGAAAGAACTTTTTGACATTTGGACTAAAAAATTTTAAATTATAAAAATTAATATTATTTTTTAACATAAATTTTTATAGCTAGAAATCTGAAATTTATGTCATGTAATACGAATGGCAAAAAAAAAAATGGTACTTACGTATTAAATTTGTGTAAATATCTGATCATCAGTAGCTTATTTTTCGCTAATTTTTGCGGAATATTTCGATTAAAAAAAATGTCGGCCAAATATGTGACTGCGGTGGCGTTAGTGAGTACGTAAAATAAAAAACAAAATTTGTATTATTTGTGTTTTCTACTGTATAAGATATTTTCCTCATATTTACATACTCAAACATTTTTGAAAGAAAAAACTTACTACTCTTTATTATATGATATCAAATCACGCCCACTTTATATGTGACAAAGTTGGTTTGGTGACGTCGTAACCTTATATTCTTTAATCCTTGGATATATCGTATGGAGTTCCCCGATAAAGCGTATGCTATAATTTTTCAAAATAATAAAAGTAAAACAATTTTAAAATAAAATAAGGCTGTCAACGCTAAGGTTTCTGGTGATATCTAGAGTCCTTAAAGTATTTTAAAATACTGTTAGATAACAGAAGTCATTCAATTATAGAGCATAGTGAGAGTAGAGTCGGGAAGGATCTATTTGAAATAAGTATTATGTATGGGGAATCGTTGTTCCGATATGGTCTTCATGTAGTTCTGAGCTTATACCCACCTCTTCCATAGATTTGCTTAAAGTTGCGTAAAAATATTTCGTAAACTGTTTCGAAACTCTAATCATAAATTAAATATTTAAATTACCCCTTCGTCTTCGCAAAGTTTCATTGAAAATGAAATAGCAAAACTGAGATAAAATGCAAAAATAATTTCATATCTACATATTTGTGTCTGTACATCTGTATGAAAGCATTTATGCCTGCATGTACATATGTATGTATGTAGACTGAGTGAACTTTGACATAACTTTATCCATTAACCTCAGGCTAGCCACTACTAAAAGCTTAAAACATGTCCACGATTTGAGCATAAAGCAGCAGCGGAGTATAAAAACCACAACAACAACATAAACAGGAAAAATAATAAAATGAAATGTACGGAAGTGTACTTGAATGATTTTAAGTGGAAATGTAAACAAAAGGAAATTTTACAAAATTTTCTATGTATGCATGTAGCTATATAATATGTTCGCTCGTTTGTTGTTGTTGATTTAGGACAATTGCAATAAATTGTAGACAGAATTTATATATGTATGTATGTATGCAATTGTATTTGTTTCTTGTCGAAAGTGGAAAGTTTTTCAATTGCATATTGTTCTTCTACCATTGTTATTTTGTTGTTGTTATTATTGTTGTTGTTATTATTGTTGTTGTTATTATTGTTGTTGTTGTTGGCTATTTGAGCTGCAGAAAGGGCTTGAATACTTTTCGACTGTCGAGAGAATGCCTGCAATAAATACATTTATCGTTAACTTTTGCAAGGCAAATTCTCTTAAGAGCTAAGGTGTGTGCAAGTATGGTGAAAAGATATATATATATATGTGTGTGTATGTTTTATTCAATAGTTGCTGACTCATTTAACCGTGAACTTCAAATTTGAAGTGTTCACTCTGTTCATTGTTGTTATTTCAATGGTTAAAGCATTTAATTTTTTTCA